ATAGGAACCATTCCTAGCATTAAACGGAAAATTTTATATAAAAGCAAAATTTATATTATTTTACTAAATGATATTCCTGTTATTTAATGCCCTACACATGAAACAAATATACAAAAGAAACATTAACATTCCCCCATATTGCACTTTCAATATTCTACAAATATATTAGAGCAATAAACTTCTTTTTGTATGTACATTTCTGTGTACACTACGCACATCCCATTGTATCAATAGAAAAAAAATTCATTGGTCATTTTATGTTGTGACTTTACCAGAACATACTTTCTGGAATACTCACAATCCTTACTGACTGTAATAAACCCTGTAATACAATGTTTTCGATCTCCAGAGAGAATACGAATTATCGAACTTGAGTAAATAGACTCCTTCGGCGGGGTACTGATGAGATCCGGCATAAACTTCATTTTGACAATCCCTCCTATACACAGGGACGACTTCAGTTAGAAGAGGCTTTGCTAAAGCACTTATGGGCAACGAACCGGCTTCTAGATCTTGGGCTGTTAAACCATCTTCATCATCCAAATCATCTAGATCTTCGCCGTCCTCATCATCGCTTTCTGACACATGTACCGATACCTCGCTTGATGTTGGAGTGCCAAATTCGAAATATACACCAAAACCTATTATAAATAGATAATATATATCTAAAAAGATGTATAGAATTGACTAAATAAACAAATAAATTAAGTGAACACTAATAAAGCAACATTTTCTTCTTACAAAAACAAACGGCCGTTCTTGTATAAATACAAGTGTTTTGTTATTTATTAGCAAAAGCATTTTGGATAAGCTTGGTTCTTCTTCTATATAAAACAATAAAAAATTTACTAACCAATATCATAATGATCGGTTGCAAATTCCCAAAAAATTCTTGATCCATCTTTGTGTGTAGGCACCCTAACCGTTACAGTCTCACCATGACCAACTCTTACTACCCCATCACCCTCAGCCTGTGACACAGCCTGTTTAAATGCCTGAATATCTGATCGTGTCCACATATTCGCCGGTACAAGTGTTTCAGAAAGAGATGAGAGTGCAGGAGGAGAACCATTATTTAGATCATCAGAAGATTGTTCTGTTGTCTGAGTTTTCTCCTCATTTGCATTCACCTCATTATCTGTCCCCTTTAGTATTATTTCTTCATCCCTATGAACTGCCTGCAATTGCTGCATATACTGAATGTAATGCTGCTCTTGTAATTGTTTAATTAGCGTGCCCTGTTTCTCAGGATCCCCTGAAAAGTAATAATAACAATTTTTGATGAAATTAAAGTAATGCTGGAGGCACTCAACATAAAAATTATTCACACGTAAAACACCTTACCTGGAAATTGTTGCTCAGCATAATTCCTAAATTGTTCATAAGTTTGCTGATTAAGAGCTTGTTTTATTTGCTGTTTAATTAATTCTTCTTTTTCTAACTGTTCTCGTTTCAATTTTTCTTCAGCTTCTAGTTTTTTTCTTTCTTCTTCTTCCAATAACCTACGTTTTCTCTCTTCTTCTCTGCAAAAAACATAAAATATATGTATGAAAATGTAAACCACATTATAACTTACATTAGTCTTTCTTGTTCTTCTTTTTCACATCTATGAGCTTCCGTATAAGCATTGAATAAAGGACAACGCCTATAAAGTAGTTCGACAAAACCTCTTCTTGCTTGGTCTGCATCTAAATTTCCTAATTTTTGCCACGCTAATCGTCTGTCACGACCCACAACGTCTAAGGCTCCTAAAGGGGGTAACTTTGATACTGCTTCTGATAAAGGACCGTGTGAAACTTGTTGCGAAAAGGCAACTAACTGCAATTTATCTTCATAACTTAAATGAACAGCTTTACCTTCTTTTTCTGAAACGAACAATAATGTTATTTACTATTACTTAACCTACAGAACCGGTAAAGTGCATACCTTTATAAAAGTTTAATGCAAGTTTATATACTTCTTGCAAAGGTAAACTATTGTTTGATAAGATATTTATTTGATCATTTTCAGCAGCTCCAAAGCCCGTTTTGTTTTCGATAGATAAATGTTTAAACTTTTCTGCGACTGATGAGGTGTTGTCACCTACAGCAGCCATTTTTGTGGTACAGTCCATAGATAATAGATATACAAAGGCTTTGGCCCATAGACAAGGTACAGTGCGTGACATCTATTGTCCATGGTACCATCATGGTACTGTCTGGCCCATAGATAAGGTCTAATGTATTGCCTATGGTTTATAACTAAGTGATCCACTTATCCATTATCCATAATTATTATTAAATATTACACCTCATTTTATAGCAGATATATTAAAATATTTTGTTTAATTTAGCTTATTTCGAATTATTTGTTATATCTCTTTTGCTACAATACTTCTATAAAACAAAACAACACAATGAGAACTCTTGAAAGATTATAATCTATTTATTGAAATAAAAATAATCATATTTACACCAAAAAAATATTTAACTAATTACTTGATCTAATTCTTCTAATTCGTCATCTTCACCACCAATTGCTTTCCAAAATGCTGTTACCATTTGCTCTGCACATTGTTTACGTTGATTCATTGGCATTCCTTTAATGCTTTCTTTCATCATCTGAAGGTGTGAAAATAGTTCACTAAAATCGTCCATATCATCTGGTCCAATTATATTACATACAGATGGAGAATCTTCTTGCTTTGTTACATTTGCTATATTACAACTGCCTTGTAACTTCTCACTTTTCATAATTAAATTAGGCCAAACGTATGTTTGCAGAGATTCTATAATTCTATCAACACCTACTTTTTCTTTGAATATATCACCACCCAAATCTGTGCACTCACTATTATTAGGATACAATTCAATTAATTCAAAACTATTTTTCAAACACCATCCTAATGCTTTAGTTTTTGGAACCTGACTTTCTTCAGTTATATAATTACATACCAATAATTTTACTTCAGGATTACATTCATTAAACAAATCTTCCAATTTTTTTAAATCTTCAAGTCCACACTCCTTATTACTGTCCATATGAACAATGACAGCATGAATGGTGTTATTGAATTCGTCTGTTCTTAAAAACTTTTCGGTTATTCCAAAAATATTGATATCAGCCGTATAATATTTAGTATCTACATGCCAAATACAATGAATTCTGTCAGGAACACTTTCATCTACTGCCGCTGTCTTTCCTACTAATAATTTCATAATTGATTTCGGTTTTGTTCTGCTGCAACTAACTATTAAAATACCGGGTCTGCAATCCATATTGAACTATTTACAGTGCAATGTAAACGTTATCAAATGAAATTGGAACAGTTAATTAATTTTCCTGTTAATTGCACATTTTTATCATATAATAGCTCATTTTAAACATTTTTTGACAATGTTGACAATTAATGGTAAACTAGGGTTAAGGTTATGTCGTGATATGCCATAGATAATAAATGTCTATTATCGGTTGCGTGCTGATCTGCTGAATTTTTGCTGAATGAAATGGATTTATATCGTTGACATCATAAAATTTGTGAACAGTGGAAATTATTTATTTAATTATTTGTGATTAAATAAATAGCATTTCGCTAATTGAAGATCTGAAATGGAAAATTTTTGAAAATTAAATTATCTGTGGACTGTAGAAAACTGAAACAAATTTCATCCATCCAGTTGGGGTTATGTTCTGTTCAGTTCTGCTGGTTCGTTGACTAGTATTGTATTTGTTTTTGAGTAAAATCGGTGAAGAAATAGTATAATAAATTTTATTATCAATAGTTAAAGCTGCAACTCCTAGTTAAGTTCTAAATTGCTGTATTTTAAAAATTGATAATGGTAAGTAAGAATGAAAAATATTCATTTCATAATGTAAATTGATTTATGCTTCAGGGTAAACATAAAGATCATAAACGTAAAAAACATAAAAAGGGCAAGAAGCATAAGAAAGAAATAAAGTACAGTAGTAGTTCTTCCAGTAATTCTGAAGATGAATGGGTAGAGAAAGAACTAATTAAAAATGATGAACAAGCTCTTGAAAGAGAAAGTTGGATGTCATTGTCAACCACTTTTAATTCTTATTCCAGTACTGATAAGAGACAAGATCGTGAAGAGCAAAGAAAACTTGAAAAACAAAAATCTGTTTATAATCCTTGCGAAAGTGTCAGGGAATTAAATCCTTATTGGAAGGGGGGTGGTGATGGTATGCCTTCTATAAAATTTAAAAGGCCACTTGATGATGGTGACAGTTTTCAAAATCCTGGCAATCATCCCATACAAAAAGACTCTGGTAGAGTTCAACCACAAAGTTCATCTAATTGGCGAAAAAAGACTGTTCCAGACCATACAACTAACAGTGCAGATACATCTCACAATTCAAATGATGATAGTAATAAACTTTTAAGTGAAAATGAAATGAATGCTCTTGCTGCTAAATTAGTAAAAGCTGAAATAATGGGAAATATACCTGTAATTTATGAACTTAGACAAAAACTTGAAGATGCAAGGAAAGCAAAAGAAAAAATTGCAATGGAAAATCATTCTATACTACTGACAGAAACCGACTCTAAAGGTTTTTCTCGCCCATTTAAGATGGAATCAACATATGGGGAATACTCAGGAAGTTCTCATAAAAAACAAAAAGTTGAAACTCACAAAGACAGAGAAAGGGTAAGGTATTTCCCAGATGATGATAAGTACTCCCTCAAACAAATGTTTGAAAATGAAAAATTCAACTCAGTTGAAGATGAAGCTAGAGACTTTGTACGCCTCACAGGTCAAGTTGGAAAAAATGATGATCTTGATGATCTATTTACTGATAACATTAGAAGAAAAAAATCAGATGAGAGAATTGATAAAAGAAATAGAGATAAGGCAATAAGGGAACATGAACAGACTATACAAACTATAGAAAATTGCACAAAATGCATACAATCTGCAAATATGCAGAAGCATTTAATGGTTTCACTTGGAGAAACGATTTATCTTTGTCTTCCACATCATGAACCACTTACAGATGGACATTGTATGATCATTCCAACTCGGCATGTCTCTTGTTGTACTAACTTAGAAGAAAATGAATGGAGTGAACTGCTAAATTATAGAAGAGCACTAGTCCAAATGTTTGCTAACAGAAATGAAGATGTCATTTTTATTGAAACAGCAATGTTTCTAAGTAGACATCCACATATGTCTATTCAGTGTGTACCCCTCCCAAAAGAACAGGGAGATCTAGCACCCATATATTTCAGAAAGGCAATTGATGAATCTGAAACCGAATGGTCTTCCAATAAGAAATTAGTGTCATTAGCTGGAAGAGATGTGAGAAAAGCTATTCCAAAAGGGTTACCGTATTTTAGTGTCTCCTTTGGGATGCAAGAAGGATTTGCTCATGTAATTGAAGATCAGAGGCTATTCCCTGTCAATTTTGGACAAGAAATAATAGGTGGAATGTTGGACTTGCATCACAGTAAATGGAAGAAACCAAAAAAACAAAGCTTTACAGAACAAAAAGATCGTGTTTTAAAATTTTCACAAGAGTGGAATAAATATGAATGTGCAACTGGATAAAAAAAAATACACTTTTTTTATTAACACTGTCCACATTTTTCAGAATTTCCTAGCGAAGCGCATGAGGCGATCAAAAATCGAGCCCCGCAACATATTTAACCCTTAATTTTCAGGATAAATGTGTCCTAAATAAATGTTGAAAAATAGAAAATAATTTTCTCTCAGGGCAAGTTGTTTAAACCAGAAGTTTATTACATTCTGGCTTAACATAAAAACAGCAACAATCTGATATCAAGATAAATTAATTGAATGTACAAAACTTCCCCATAAATTTAAAATTAAATATTTTATTTAACTTTTAATACTTTTAAAATTATGAAATGCTGTAAAATCACTAAATGTTTTGGAATGTAATTTGTACTCCCAACAAAATGATTCCTCCACTTATTGTTAGTATAATTTTGTTTTATAAAAATTAAATTTTTATGAAAATAAAAATGTATTATTTCAATTAGGCCTCTTATTTAACCTTTTTCTGTATTTCAATTTCTAGGTAAGTTAAATTACTCATAAATTTAAAAAAAATCATATACAAGTAAATCGCTATAATATTTTAAAATAAGTTAGCAAAAGTAAAATTTAGACAATCATTTCAAGTTCTCTAGCATAGGAAATGGCTTGCTCAGCAAATTCTCGGGCAGGTAGTGGTTCATTAATTTTTGTAACTTCTGGTACAAAGTGATAAAAGTTATCCTTTTCCAATTTCCATTTTTTCTAAATAAGTAGAAATATAATTACCAAGCATTTTACAAAAGAGTAAATGACTTACTTTAGATGCCAGTTCTTTTGTTGCCACTTCATTAGGTAGATACAGCATTCGAGTCGCATCCTTCAATGAAATCTTTTCAAATGCACTTTCCAAACATGAAGCAATTTCTCCTCTGATTGTGTCAAGTAAAATGTCCATAAAGAAGTTATAATTTTTGGCAGGAACATTTCCTTTGGCTAAAAATATCTGAAAACAAAAAAATTTAGTTAATACATACATTTGAAGTTACCCTGGTAATTAAACAAGTTAAAATATACCTTATTATAACTTCCTTCCATCAAATACTGTTCAATTGACAATGGATGTCTGATATAAACATTATTTTGTAATTGATCAGCAGGAAGTAGTTCCAATTCAGTATGAAACTCTGCTACTCGGTTTTGTGAAAGCAGAAACAATAAGTTTAACCCTAGAAGTTGGTATTTGAAAGCAGACTCTGGCAATTGATTCTTGTAATCAAAATAGTAACATTTCAATTGTGCCATGTATCTCTCAAAGGCAGGTATATCATTAGCTGCAATACTCCACTGAGCTCCAATTTCTAAAATATCTCTAGCAAGAAGTAATTCCTGCTGAGAAGCCAAACTATGTGAAGTTGGAAGAAATATTGTCGTGGTCAGCAGTATCTAAAACAAAAAAAATGCAAATTCATTTAACCTCAAAATAAAGAGTATCAAAGGGTTACCTTCAAGTCTGCTAAAAGTTGTTCACATTTACTCAAATTAGGATTTGTGTGACCCCATTCGCTTTTCAGTTGTTTGTATAAAGTAGTTATTTCACTAACTTTCGAAATATTCGACATATTAACTAATTATTTTACTCACAATAGCACGAAAACAACTTTCAACAACTGGTGTTTTGAACTTGTCTATAGATTTGAAGTTTTGATTTTCTATTTGATTACCATAGATAGTATCAGATGAAAATCATAGATAAATTGTGATGGATGCTACTTTTATGAAAGTTTACGACCATTTTAAGTTTTTTATCACGAAAAGGAAACTAGTGCCATCCAAACTAGGTAAATGCAGTAAACTACATGGATAATTACATTAAATGGTGGTGACATTTTGCAAGGCATTAGGAGATAGCATTACAGTATACAGTCTGTAAAATCGATTTTCTGTTCTACGTTTCAAACATAATGGGTGTGTATTTTTAGTTCTCCCCTCCATAAAAGGAACCAATTGTGTACAACTACTACGTGCACGTTCGTGCATGTCGCAGCGTAGATATAAACATTACGGTAGTCCTTGTTGCTGTTATTAGAAGTTGTGCTGCTGAGTAGTGCAAGTGTTTTGTCAGTTACTGACCGATACTTCTCGTTATATTTTCAAGCTACTTCCGAACGTGAAGTAGATAAATAAAGTAATTAAAAAGTTACACAGAATTACCGAAAATGGCTTTTATGATGCCTGTTGTAAAGAACGACTGGGATATTTACAAGTGCAATCCTAGGTCACGGAAGTTATCCGAGTGTTCCAACACTCAGTCATGCAGGTCTAGGAAGGTGTCTGAATGTCGCTCAGAAGGTCCTAGTTTGTCAACATCACCAGGATCCGATTTTATAGCGGGTTCACCGGGCCATAGAAGTATGCCAAACAACATGTCCCGACAGTTCTCGAGGAATAGTTCTAGAACGTCCCACAGTAGCCTGCAAAGCCCGTGTAAAAGTGCTGGATCTTCGCCACCGAAAACCGGCTCTCAAAACAGCCTAAACAAATTCCATAACCGGCTATTGGACAAACTGAAGAAATCCTTTAGGATCAAAGACACAGAATCAACACACACCACATGAGAAGAGAAGAAAAACACTAATTCTAAGAGTCGAAAGTCTTAGTGAATTTGTGTATAATATTTATTCGGTTTTATTCTTAATAAAAACCCTTATCATTATGGATTCGAAATTTTGTTAAGGAAGTGCTCTGTGATGTTTGTTTAGGTTATTGTAGTATTAAAAGGTAAGATTTATCTATAATTACTTAAAATATTCTAGTTTAAGTACTTAAATACCTACAATGTTTTTACAATATAAGACTGCAGCGTATTAGCTTAATGTTTAATCTAAATTCTATTAAATGTTAAATATAGAATGCGCTATTTGATGTTAGGAATTTGTTTGTACCTAGCATTGCTATTTGTTATGTTGGAGCGCATGGTACTACAAAAAACATTTTTGTTTACTTTGTCATTTGAAAGCGTGTCCGTATGATGCAATGTGAATTAAAAAATTGCTAATTGTAAAACGAAGTGCGATTGTGATTTGATTTAGTGATTACACATATTAACGATTTTGTTAGTTATCTGCCAAAAATGAGGCAAATTCCTAACTTTAAATGAACCATTAACATCTTTTTATATTCAATATAGCAAAATTCTGCTTTAATGTTTAGTGTTAACATTTTTATTGTTACAAATTTTGATGTAAAAGAGGTGGTAGGTAATTGGGCTTTTGATTTTTTGTAAACTTTCACCTATACTGTGTTTAACCAAATATACAACATTCCAGTTTGATCAAAAACGCTAGATAAAGAAAATGTTGTATTATTGTTACTTAAATGAAATGATGGTACCTACCTGTTAGTTATCTGTCTAAATTTTATTAAATGCCTAACACTTATTTAGATTTGTATATATACTTATAAAATCCCATCATGTATTGTAATGTGTCGATGATGAAAAGTAACAACGAAGGGATTTAACCCAGGATATTTGTAAGCACAGTATATAACAATACAGTCGACACTCTTAATTGTTTGATAAAGGTTCCTGTAATACCACAACGCCGTTTTATGATAAATGTGTTCTATGTTTAACGAAACTATCTATAAATATATGTTATACATATTTATTGAAATATATTTGTGACAGACTGTAAAAGAGTTTGTATAAAATTCTTTCATAATAAAGTTTACGAATTATTGTTATTAACATGATTTTTAATTATAAAAGTCCTGCCTTACTTATCAATCCTTTAGTAATTATCCAAAAGTGTAAGATATGATTAAATGGCAGGTAAGAGAAGAAGAAACATTCTTCTGGATGTGGATACCTAGCTACCTTTACAGATAAAAAAATACAATACGTTCCACCAGGGATTCAATATTGTTTAATTAAAAGTAATTGAAGTTGCACTTATTCATTATTGATTTTATAATAATTGAAAGTAAGGAACAGTAGGTACTGTTCACAATCAGCAACTTACGTAATAGCAATGTCGATGTCCCACCCATTGAAGTGGAAAATTACCGAGAGAAGTTTGCACGATTCCGCTTGCATGTGTTTATTCACATCAGTATTTTTATGCTGAATATATCACAAATCTTCATATACATTGTACAATGTATTGAAGAACAGGTTTTCTATATTTAGTAACCGAATATATTATGTTTATAAATGCTTTTCTGTCTAATACCTGAATGCTAAGTAGATTTAACATAAAATTCAAATTCTTTTCTAACAGGTTTCGTATTTTTTCATTCAAAAAAATTAAAAATTAATCTCAACAAAACTTAATCCAATAAAANATCAGTTTTACGATCCGTTGTTAAGTTTCTAGAGCAATGTGTGCTCCAAGGATTTCTTTAAGAAATTTGCTGATGATATTTATTTTTAATGAATTAATTGTGAAGGTTTAATAGGATTTGCCTTAGTTTTTTTTCTTTCTTATAGATGCAGAATTTACAAGTAGTCTATAATTACAATCTTTGTTGGTATAGATTATAAAAGATTCATTTAGAAATGTTTGCTTGTCTAGAGGTAGAAAAAAGATTATTGATTACTGACCAATTTAGTCCTTTATAATTAAAGTGCCATATTATTAAGTGTCTGGGGCTGAAGATATTGATTAAAGCAGAATACCGTCTGCTATACAATTAATAAGAATACTAGCCAATAATAATAATCAATATCGCTGTTCAGGTACTGATGAAAATCGTGTTGCTGCAGTCCCTTATTAAATAGAAATGTTTACAGGAAAAGATTAGCCTGTAATTGAAATGGGATACGTCCAATATACCCATAAAAACGTTAATCAAAAGTAGAAATTACAGATTTTTTTGTCAGTATTTTTCTTTTTATGTCGGACGAACGAAAATGCGTTTGATGGACGTGTGGAATATGTTTTATCAACCACGTACGTATATTTGAAAGCTTCTGCATATCTGAAAACTGTCCTAAACTGGCTGAGCTGTCAAATCTTTTGAACAAAGCGTAACACCCCTTAAAGGTTTTAAATTGCATTTACTCGACCTATATTACGTTATTAGTTATATAAAAAGATCTCTGAAAGTATTTGTACGCATTTCGCTATACTGCGTCATACTTTTTCAAAACACACAACCCTTAAAATCCACAAATAATGCTTCTCTCGGACATTCGAGAACATTACACCTGAGGACCATCTTAGAAACATTCAAAAACATTTTAGTACTCTCTCACTTACTCAGGAAGGGTGTATTGTTGACCAGTAGTCCACTCGCAGGCCCACACATTCACAAGACTAGAAAAATTTCAAACATAATAGGAGATTTCGGACATTTTTTAGAATACCATAATCAAAATATAATAGAATGTCCTAATACAGTGTCAGAAGTCATCTTCACCACTCACACACTATGGTCCTTGAAAATTCCACAAACATTCGAGAACATTATAAGCTTAGGAGCACCCTGGATACATTCCAGAACATTCTGATACATTCTTACATGCTAAACAGGTGTTTGGTGACCGGTGGTTGGCTTGCAGGCCAAAGCATTCTTTAAACTGTAATAATTTCAAGCGTATTAGGAAATTTCGAACAGTTTTTACAATACCTTGGTCAAAATATAATAGAATGCCCTAATACAGTGTCAAAAGTCATCTTCACCACTCACACACAATGGTCCTTGAAAATTCCATAAACATTCGAGAACATTATAAGCTGAAGATCATCTTAAAGATATGCAAAAACATTTTTGTACATTCTCACATTTTAAACGAGTGTTTGGTAGCCGTAGTTGATTCGCAGATCCACACACTCACCAGATTAGAGAAATCTCGATCATTATAAGAGTTTGATTATTTTACTTTAATTAAATTATCGCTTAATCTGTCTGCTGAAAACTGCATAAAAAACTGTCTGAATAGTTTTAGGTACTCATGTACCGTCTAATTTTCGAGTTTTCTGCACTTCAGTGTGTACTATGTACCAATGTACCCCAGAGAGTTAAATAAAATAAAACGCTTTGTAACTAAAATACGTGCATTTGACATAGCGCATGATAGGACATTCTCGAATTCTAGATGACTCTTCGGAATGGGGGTGGGTGATATCGAAAGAGGAGGTCTCCCCCACCACTGTACCATAAAAAATTAGGGAGGTTAGATAATGGCCCCTTCGGGATGGGGGTAAGGGGTTTCGAAAGAGGGTGGTCACCTGAGTAAAACCCCATAAAAAATTTGCGGCGGTCTTACCCTCATAAAAAGTTATGTGGGTTGAAAGTTGATTATTTTGACAATTTTCATACACTATAATTCAAATAAAATTCAATAAAAGAATTATTTTCAAGCGGGTGGAGGTGGGGGATCGAAAGAGGGNTTTTGGATAAGCTTGGTTCTTCTTCTATATAAAACAATAAAAAATTTACTAACCAATATCATAATGATCGGTTGCAAATTCCCAAAAAATTCTTGATCCATCTTTGTGTGTAGGCACCCTAACCGTTACAGTCTCACCATGACCAACTCTTACTACCCCATCACCCTCAGCCTGTGACACAGCCTGTTTAAATGCCTGAATATCTGATCGTGTCCACATATTCGCCGGTACAAGTGTTTCAGAAAGAGATGAGAGTGCAGGAGGAGAACCATTATTTAGATCATCAGAAGATTGTTCTGTTGTCTGAGTTTTCTCCTCATTTGCATTCACCTCATTATCTGTCCCCTTTAGTATTATTTCTTCATCCCTATGAACTGCCTGCAATTGCTGCATATACTGAATGTAATGCTGCTCTTGTAATTGTTTAATTAGCGTGCCCTGTTTCTCAGGATCCCCTGAAAAGTAATAATAACAATTTTTGATGAAATTAAAGTAATGCTGGAGGCACTCAACATAAAAATTATTCACACGTAAAACACCTTACCTGGAAATTGTTGCTCAGCATAATTCCTAAATTGTTCATAAGTTTGCTGATTAAGAGCTTGTTTTATTTGCTGTTTAATTAATTCTTCTTTTTCTAACTGTTCTCGTTTCAATTTTTCTTCAGCTTCTAGTTTTTTTCTTTCTTCTTCTTCCAATAACCTACGTTTTCTCTCTTCTTCTCTGCAAAAAACATAAAATATATGTATGAAAATGTAAACCACATTATAACTTACATTAGTCTTTCTTGTTCTTCTTTTTCACATCTATGAGCTTCCGTATAAGCATTGAATAAAGGACAACGCCTATAAAGTAGTTCGACAAAACCTCTTCTTGCTTGGTCTGCATCTAAATTTCCTAATTTTTGCCACGCTAATCGTCTGTCACGACCCACAACGTCTAAGGCTCCTAAAGGGGGTAACTTTGATACTGCTTCTGATAAAGGACCGTGTGAAACTTGTTGCGAAAAGGCAACTAACTGCAATTTATCTTCATAACTTAAATGAACAGCTTTACCTTCTTTTTCTGAAACGAACAATAATGTTATTTACTATTACTTAACCTACAGAACCGGTAAAGTGCATACCTTTATAAAAGTTTAATGCAAGTTTATATACTTCTTGCAAAGGTAAACTATTGTTTGATAAGATATTTATTTGATCATTTTCAGCAGCTCCAAAGCCCGTTTTGTTTTCGATAGATAAATGTTTAAACTTTTCTGCGACTGATGAGGTGTTGTCACCTACAGCAGCCATTTTTGTGGTACAGTCCATAGATAATAGATATACAAAGGCTTTGGCCCATAGACAAGGTACAGTGCGTGACATCTATTGTCCATGGTACCATCATGGTACTGTCTGGCCCATAGATAAGGTCTAATGTATTGCCTATGGTTTATAACTAAGTGATCCACTTATCCATTATCCATAATTATTATTAAATATTACACCTCATTTTATAGCAGATATATTAAAATATTTTGTTTAATTTAGCTTATTTCGAATTATTTGTTATATCTCTTTTGCTACAATACTTCTATAAAACAAAACAACACAATGAGAACTCTTGAAAGATTATAATCTATTTATTGAAATAAAAATAATCATATTTACACCAAAAAAATATTTAACTAATTACTTGATCTAATTCTTCTAATTCGTCATCTTCACCACCAATTGCTTTCCAAAATGCTGTTACCATTTGCTCTGCACATTGTTTACGTTGATTCATTGGCATTCCTTTAATGCTTTCTTTCATCATCTGAAGGTGTGAAAATAGTTCACTAAAATCGTCCATATCATCTGGTCCAATTATATTACATACAGATGGAGAATCTTCTTGCTTTGTTACATTTGCTATATTACAACTGCCTTGTAACTTCTCACTTTTCATAATTAAATTAGGCCAAACGTATGTTTGCAGAGATTCTATAATTCTATCAACACCTACTTTTTCTTTGAATATATCACCACCCAAATCTGTGCACTCACTATTATTAGGATACAATTCAATTAATTCAAAACTATTTTTCAAACACCATCCTAATGCTTTAGTTTTTGGAACCTGACTTTCTTCAGTTATATAATTACATACCAATAATTTTACTTCAGGATTACATTCATTAAACAAATCTTCCAATTTTTTTAAATCTTCAAGTCCACACTCCTTATTACTGTCCATATGAACAATGACAGCATGAATGGTGTTATTGAATTCGTCTGTTCTTAAAAACTTTTCGGTTATTCCAAAAATATTGATATCAGCCGTATAATATTTAGTATCTACATGCCAAATACAATGAATTCTGTCAGGAACACTTTCATCTACTGCCGCTGTCTTTCCTACTAATAATTTCATAATTGATTTCGGTTTTGTTCTGCTGCAACTAACTATTAAAATACCGGGTCTGCAATCCATATTGAACTATTTACAGTGCAATGTAAACGTTATCAAATGAAATTGGAACAGTTAATTAATTTTCCTGTTAATTGCACATTTTTATCATATAATAGCTCATTTTAAACATTTTTTGACAATGTTGACAATTAATGGTAAACTAGGGTTAAGGTTATGTCGTGATATGCCATAGATAATAAATGTCTATTATCGGTTGCGTGCTGATCTGCTGAATTTTTGCTGAATGAAATGGATTTATATCGTTGACATCATAAAATTTGTGAACAGTGGAAATTATTTATTTAATTATTTGTGATTAAATAAATAGCATTTCGCTAATTGAAGATCTGAAATGGAAAATTTTTGAAAATTAAATTATCTGTGGACTGTAGAAAACTGAAACAAATTTCATCCATCCAGTTGGGGTTATGTTCTGTTCAGTTCTGCTGGTTCGTTGACTAGTATTGTATTTGTTTTTGAGTAAAATCGGTGAAGAAATAGTATAATAAATTTTATTATCAATAGTTAAAGCTGCAACTCCTAGTTAAGTTCTAAATTGCTGTATTTTAAAAATTGATAATGGTAAGTAAGAATGAAAAATATTCATTTCATAATGTAAATTGATTTATGCTTCAGGGTAAACATAAAGATCATAAACGTAAAAAACATAAAAAGGGCAAGAAGCATAAGAAAGAAATAAAGTACAGTAGTAGTTCTTCCAGTAATTCTGAAGATGAATGGGTAGAGAAAGAACTAATTAAAAATGATGAACAAGCTCTTGAAAGAGAAAGTTGGATGTCATTGTCAACCACTTTTAATTCTTATTCCAGTACTGATAAGAGACAAGATCGTGAAGAGCAAAGAAAACTTGAAAAACAAAAATCTGTTTATAATCCTTGCGAAAGTGTCAGGGAATTAAATCCTTATTGGAAGGGGGGTGGTGATGGTATGCCTTCTATAAAATTTAAAAGGCCACTTGATGATGGTGACAGTTTTCAAAATCCTGGCAATCATCCCATACAAAAAGACTCTGGTAGAGTTCAACCACAAAGTTCATCTAATTGGCGAAAAAAGACTGTTCCAGACCATACAACTAACAGTGCAGATACATCTCACAATTCAAATGATGATAGTAATAAACTTTTAAGTGAAAATGAAATGAATGCTCTTGCTGCTAAATTAGTAAAAGCTGAAATAATGGGAAATATACCTGTAATTTATGAACTTAGACAAAAACTTGAAGATGCAAGGAAAGCAAAAGAAAAAATTGCAATGGAAAATCATTCTATACTACTGACAGAAACCGACTCTAAAGGTTTTTCTCGCCCATTTAAGATGGAATCAACATATGGGGAATACTCAGGAAGTTCTCATAAAAAACAAAAAGTTGAAACTCACAAAGACAGAGAAAGGGTAAGGTATTTCCCAGATGATGATAAGTACTCCCTCAAACAAATGTTTGAAAATGAAAAATTCAACTCAGTTGAAGATGAAGCTAGAGACTTTGTACGCCTCACAGGTCAAGTTGGAAAAAATGATGATCTTGATGATCTATTTACTGATAACATTAGAAGAAAAAAATCAGATGAGAGAATTGATAAAAGAAATAGAGATAAGGCAATAAGGGAACATGAACAGACTATACAAACTATAGAAAATTGCACAAAATGCATACAATCTGCAAATATGCAGAAGCATTTAATGGTTTCACTTGGAGAAACGATTTATCTTTGTCTTCCACATCATGAACCACTTACAGATGGACNATTCGAAATTTTGTTAAGGAAGTGCTCTGTGATGTTTGTTTAGGTTATTGTAGTATTAAAAGGTAAGATTTATCTATAATTACTTAAAATATTCTAGTTTAAGTACTTAAATACCTACAATGTTTTTACAATATAAGACTGCAGCGTATTAGCTTAATGTTTAATCTAAATTCTATTAAATGTTAAATATAGAATGCGCTATTTGATGTTAGGAATTTGTTTGTACCTAGCATTGCTATTTGTTATGTTGGAGCGCATGGTACTACAAAAAACATTTTTGTTTACTTTGTCATTTGAAAGCGTGTCCGTATGATGCAATGTGAATTAAAAAATTGCTAATTGTAAAACGAAGTGCGATTGTGATTTGATTTAGTGATTACACATATTAACGATTTTGTTAGTTATCTGCCAAAAATGAGGCAAATTCCTAACTTTAAATGAACCATTAACATCTTTTTATATTCAATATAGCAAAATTCTGCTTTAATGTTTAGTGTTAACATTTTTATTGTTACAAATTTTGATGTAAAAGAGGTGGTAGGTAATTGGGCTTTTGATTTTTTGTAAACTTTCACCTATACTGTGTTTAACCAAATATACAACATTCCAGTTTGATCAAAAACGCTAGATAAAGAAAATGTTGTATTATTGTTACTTAAATGAAATGATGGTACCTACCTGTTAGTTATCTGTCTAAATTTTATTAAATGCCTAACACTTATTTAGATTTGTATATATACTTATAAAATCCCATCATGTATTGTAATGTGTCGATGATGAAAAGTAACAACGAAGGGATTTAACCCAGGATATTTGTAAGCACAGTATATAACAATACAGTCGACACTCTTAATTGTTTGATAAAGGTTCCTGTAATACCACAACGCCGTTTTATGATAAATGTGTTCTATGTTTAACGAAACTATCTATAAATATATGTTATACATATTTATTGAAATATATTTGTGACAGACTGTAAAAGAGTTTGTATAAAATTCTTTCATAATAAAGTTTACGAATTATTGTTATTAACATGATTTTTAATTATAAAAGTCCTGCCTTACTTATCAATCCTTTAGTAATTATCCAAAAGTGTAAGATATGATTAAATGGCAGGTAAGAGAAGAAGAAACATTCTTCTGGATGTGGATACCTAGCTACCTTTACAGATAAAAAAATACAATACGTTCCACCAGGGATTCAATATTGTTTAATTAAAAGTAATTGAAGTTGCACTTATTCATTATTGATTTTATAATAATTGAAAGTAAGGAACAGTAGGTACTGTTCACAATCAGCAACTTACGTAATAGCAATGTCGATGTCCCACCCATTGAAGTGGAAAATTACCGAGAGAAGTTTGCACGATTCCGCTTGCATGTGTTTATTCACATCAGTATTTTTATGCTGAATATATCACAAATCTTCATATACATTGTACAATGTATTGAAGAACAGGTTTTCTATATTTAGTAACCGAATATATTATGTTTATAAATGCTTTTCTGTCTAATACCTGAATGCTAAGTAGATTTAACATAAAATTCAAATTCTTTTCTAACAGGTTTCGTATTTTTTCATTCAAAAAAATTAAAAATTAATCTCAACAAAACTTAATCCAATAAAAAAAAGTTTAGGTCTGCTGTAGGCATAAAAATAAACCAAATGATTTTTACATTTTTACGTAATTACAACCGAAATTTGATGCAACGAAGTACAACCTCCAACAGCATCGTGAGTGACTAACGTTAAGAATGCATGTTTACTTGTTTTAATACGATTCGATGCTTCTGATTGGCTAATACGTTGACGGCTATTTTGTTGCTCAGTTAAAAACTAGGTCACATTTGGTGTTTGTCCTTGATTTGTTCTAAAGAATGCGGAAGTAAACAGTGTTTAGTCCCAAACATATGAATGAATGTAAAGAAATATAAAAAAGAGCTAACTCAGTCACTCTTTAACTGATTCAGATGCAGGTTTCATCCAAATTTAAGGAATTTAACGTTAATTGATAAAATGGTAATAATTATTAAAACAACTCAGCGATACAATCAAATTAGCTTGTAGTGGTGGGAATATAATTACATACCAATAATTTTACTTCAGGATTACATTCATTAAACAAATCTTCCAATTTTTTTAAATCTTCAAGTCCACACTCCTTATTACTGTCCATATGAACAATGACAGCATGAATGGTGTTATTGAATTCGTCTGTTCTTAAAAACTTTTCGGTTATTCCAAAAATATTGATATCAGCCGTATAATATTTAGTATCTACATGCCAAATACAATGAATTCTGTCAGGAACACTTTCATCTACTGCCGCTGTCTTTCCTACTAATAATTTCATAATTGATTTCGGTTTTGTTCTGCTGCAACTAACTATTAAAATACCGGGTCTGCAATCCATATTGAACTATTTACAGTGCAATGTAAACGTTATCAAATGAAATTGGAACAGTTAATTAATTTTCCTGTTAATTGCACATTTTTATNGTGGTGGGAAAAGTACCAAATATTTTTTTAGTAAATTAGTAAAGAATTTTATTTTAATGTACACTATAGTTGTAATGTATGTCATCATAAGTAACAATTAATTTTAAAATAATTGATTTAATATAATAGTATACATAGTAGGAGTATTACTCCTAAAAATATGTTTTCTATAAATATTTTTATCTAAGTGTATACATATTTAAGATTTTAATTTTGTCATTGGTATCATGGCAAAATTCCTAATCTCTCTTAATTAAATAAACTCAGCCATGTTAAAACCTATGAATATTTTTTTGGTTTGTTTTTAAAACAATATGAACTAAAAGGAATATGTAACAATTAAAAATGAATCAGTTTTACGATCCGTTGTTAAGTTTCTAGAGCAATGTGTGCTCCAAGGATTTCTTTAAGAAATTTGCTGATGATATTTATTTTTAATGAATTAATTGTGAAGGTTTAATAGGATTTGCCTTAGTTTTTTTTCTTTCTTATAGATGCAGAATTTACAAGTAGTCTATAATTACAATCTTTGTTGGTATAGATTATAAAAGATTCATTTAGAAATGTTTGCTTGTCTAGAGGTAGAAAAAAGATTATTGATTACTGACCAATTTAGTCCTTTATAATTAAAGTGCCATATTATTAAGTGTCTGGGGCTGAAGATATTGATTAAAGCAGAATACCGTCTGCTATACAATTAATAAGAATACTAGCCAATAATAATAATCAATATCGCTGTTCAGGTACTGATGAAAATCGTGTTGCTGCAGTCCCTTATTAAATAGAAATGTTTACAGGAAAAGATTAGCCTGTAATTGAAATGGGATACGTCCAATATACCCATAAAAACGTTAATCAAAAGTAGAAATTACAGATTTTTTTGTCAGTATTTTTCTTTTTATGTCGGACGAACGAAAATGCGTTTGATGGACGTGTGGAATATGTTTTATCAACCACGTACGTATATTTGAAAGCTTCTGCATATCTGAAAACTGTCCTAAACTGGCTGAGCTGTCAAATCTTTTGAACAAAGCGTAACACCCCTTAAAGGTTTTAAATTGCATTTACTCGACCTATATTACGTTATTAGTTATATAAAAAGATCTCTGAAAGTATTTGTACGCATTTCGCTATACTGCGTCATACTTTTTCAAAACACACAACCCTTAAAATCCACAAATAATGCTTCTCTCGGACATTCGAGAACATTACACCTGAGGACCATCTTAGAAACATTCAAAAACATTTTAGTACTCTCTCACTTACTCAGGAAGGGTGTATTGTTGACCAGTAGTCCACTCGCAGGCCCACACATTCACAAGACTAGAAAAATTTCAAACATAATAGGAGATTTCGGACATTTTTTAGAATACCATAATCAAAATATAATAGAATGTCCTAATACAGTGTCAGAAGTCATCTTCACCACTCACACACTATGGTCCTTGAAAATTCCACAAACATTCGAGAACATTATAAGCTTAGGAGCACCCTGGATACATTCCAGAACATTCTGATACATTCTTACATGCTAAACAGGTGTTTGGTGACCGGTGGTTGGCTTGCAGGCCAAAGCATTCTTTAAACTGTAATAATTTCAAGCGTATTAGGAAATTTCGAACAGTTTTTACAATACCTTGGTCAAAATATAATAGAATGCCCTAATACAGTGTCAAAAGTCATCTTCACCACTCACACACAATGGTCCTTGAAAATTCCATAAACATTCGAGAACATTATAAGCTGAAGATCATCTTAAAGATATGCAAAAACATTTTTGTACATTCTCACATTTTAAACGAGTGTTTGGTAGCCGTAGTTGATTCGCAGATCCACACACTCACCAGATTAGAGAAATCTCGATCATTATAAGAGTTTGATTATTTTACTTTAATTAAATTATCGCTTAATCTGTCTGCTGAAAACTGCATAAAAAACTGTCTGAATAGTTTTAGGTACTCATGTACCGTCTAATTTTCGAGTTTTCTGCACTTCAGTGTGTACTATGTACCAATGTACCCCAGAGAGTTAAATAAAATAAAACGCTTTGTAACTAAAATACGTGCATTTGACATAGCGCATGATAGGACATTCTCGAATTCTAGATGACTCTTCGGAATGGGGGTGGGTGATATCGAAAGAGGAGGTCTCCCCCACCACTGTACCATAAAAAATTAGGGAGGTTAGATAATGGCCCCTTCGGGATGGGGGTAAGGGGTTTCGAAAGAGGGTGGTCACCTGAGTAAAACCCCATAAAAAATTTGCGGCGGTCTTACCCTCATAAAAAGTTATGTGGGTTGAAAGTTGATTATTTTGACAATTTTCATACACTATAATTCAAATAAAATTCAATAAAAGAATTATTTTCAAGCGGGTGGAGGTGGGGAATCGAAAGAGGGTGGTCACTTAAACAAAACCCGATAACCTAACCTAATCTATCTATTGATAGTGATATTTAAATAATGTTTTATATAACTTTCTCAATATTTTTATT